GAAACTAATGACCCCTTCAGCAAATCCATTATCTACAAAAAATAAAGAATGCTTCATTAAACAGTAGAAGACACATAAATTTGGTGCTATTATCTAAACAGATGGAAATTAGTCCCTCACCTCATTGAATCCGAAAGTCAGACTCCTTTCCTCGATCCCGACTGTATCCGTAATGCCTAAGTTGAGGAGAACTTGCACGGCAAAACCAGTCTTGTTAGGCAATACTTGAAGATCATCAGTGATGATTAATGATGCTTTACTTGCAATAAACACACCGCCACCACTATCAACCACGTCACTGACATAAATTTTTTTGTCCAACGGTAGCCCGCAATCTCATTTCAATCCTCTGAAGTACATGCTTACATTCGGAAATTCATTAAATCTACATTTTATGCCTCCACATTTGAAGTACCTTGTAGGTGGCGTGTCGTCAACGTTGATTTTCAGCCGACGACATTCAACCTCGGAGGACCTTATTGGGTTGAGAAGCAGGTTCTTACAGTCCTCTGACGAGAAAAGGCTATTGTCCAAATTGCGTAAGCCATTGTACAAAGTGGATAGACTTCCTACAACGGGGGCCTCACCACCATAGTGTTCGTTCAAGACTCGGATTATGGTTCCCAATGGCAAAGTCAGGAAGCTCAACAAAACATCTGCAAAATCTCTATCGGCCTCCACATAAATAACCTTAGTCTTTTGCTTGTTTATAATGGCTTTCAAGCTGAACTTGAAATCTTCCGGATTAGACATTCTGAAGGCAGGTTAGTGTACACTTGAAAAAGGGTCAGGTAAAAAGGAGTGATGACTTTAGCAATAATATCAAGATTGTGTTGTTGATCTCTCATTTTTATAAGCAGAAAAATAATCCAAAGGTCACTTTCTGATTTTCATTAGACCTTGACCTTCCATGTCCTTCTAATGAACCTAGACTGGATTTCTTTGTTTTGGCAATTGATGTCCCCTGGGATTTCTTTCAAACTTCTCTCTCTCTCTCTCTCTCTCTCTCTCTCTCTCTCTCTCTCTCTCTCTCATCTGAGCATTTTACTAGGTTCTCTGTAAAGTGGCCTCTTCAGTTTACTTATGTATGGACGGTATGTGCAGAAGAGCCAGAAAAGTGACCATCTAACATGTTCGAAAAAGGGGCAAGTGTGCTAAAGTGGCATTCCCTTTCTCCAGATTCATCAGAGGTAAAACATGAAATGCAAACACTGTAAAACATGTCCTCATTTAAGAAACAAGTGGTTGACCTTTGTAGAAAAGTGGGAAAAAATATTGAGATGAATACACTACCACCTTCAACTCTAGCTTAATATGAATTGTCTGATATGAGAAAAATATAAATTTTAACTTGACTGTGACAGTCGTATTAACCGTAGGTCAGGTCACAGCTCACGAATCGTAGCTTAATATGAAGTGTCCTCATGTGCGTGCACTTAATTAAAAAATTTAATTTGACATCCTTAGGCTAATTCCATTCGCATCTCCATGCATAACTATTCCATAATCCGATGTTTTGATCGATATTTCAAATAAGAACATGCCTCTATTGTATTTGGTACTCAACAAGTGTAAATATAACAATATGTTCAACTTGAAGGATTATGATTCAGAACATAAAAGCATTGCAAACAGAGTAACCGATAATTGCAACAAGAAGCACATGAGATTTGACAAGGCAAGTGAAGACCCATCTACTAAATCAACAACTGGAGAAGTTCATTAATATGTTATGCTTCGCCGTATAAATTGTACCCAACTGGAAACATGAGAAAACCTCTGCAAATTCGATGTTGGCCAGAAAACATTACCATGATTTTCTGTTTGTTTAGCAGAAGCAACAAGTTTTCCTGTTTTGATGTATTTTCATATTTTAAACACTTGCCAACATCTGATAGTTTAGGTAAGATTTTATGTGTATGCTAAGTAACACATTGGATTGCATGCACAAAGCAAGGTTCTTTTTGCATGTGCAAATTAACTTGTTTTAATTTAATTCTTTCTGTCATCATTATTGGCTGAAAATACAGTCACGAATTATCCTCACAAATTGCATCAGGAAATCGTAAATTCTACAAAGAAAAATTCATGAAAAAGGCGAAGAATGTGTATCATGCCGGAAATAACATTCATTTCCTGCATGGCGAACAAAACCAATCCAATATAAAATTACGAACAGAGACCAACTTAGTGGACTGAAAATCAGATTTTGCCATAATTTCATAAACCAAACCAAACCGGCCAAATTTTCACTTAATTATGAGAAAAAACATCCATAACTAAAACTGTGGCACAGATTAGGAACAACAAACACAAATGTAGGAACCTCCAGACATTAGCCTCAGTGTTCTTGTTTCACGCTCTTTCTCAATGATGGTCCGAGAAGGCCATTTGTCAGCACTGAAGTCGAGGCAAGAGAACCCTTCAAAATGCTCAGAGCCTAAAGTAGCGATAAGAACAACATTCAGTATGAAAAGGAAAAAAATAAAAATAAAAAAAAAAAAAAAATTCCCATCATGATAACAAATCAAATAATCGAATATAATGTTGTATCATAGTTACCTCTTCCAATCCAATGTTAAGCTCCAACTCTTCCACATCAGACAATGGAATTCCCAGTCGGTCCAAAATAGAAAGGCTTGAGGTCACACACAATGGAGTCACGGTTAAATCATCGGTCACCATGTACATTGTTGGCCCCTTCACGTAATTCCCATTGCCTTTTGGAGACTTGAGACGAAGCAAAGTAGACGGCCTATATGTCATGGTTGAAGGAGACAAATAACACCGATAAGTTTCCGAGGCTCTAACATAACGAAGTTCAGCATGTCCTCCATCGGTTAGAGGGAGAAGTTGGTTTGGCGACATATACCCGATTGGCAGTTCGGTTTTCCGAAATTTGGTCCTGTCTTTAGTCAAGAACTTGTCACCATTAATATTTTGTACACTCAAGTAGAAATTGTCTAAACTTGTAACACCAGTGTTGGTCCCCAGGAGTGACAAAGCTCCACCGAGTGGGATCATGAGCAAACTAAAGAGAAAATCAGCAAAATCGTCATCTGCTTGCGCGAACAATAACTTTTGTGAAGATTTTTGTTTCATGACCTTCAATATCATCAGCTTCTGAGAGTTGGAAACAGTTGCTTCTTCTGTCTTTGGTATGAAAACTCCGGAATTACTGACAGCTTTGCCGATTATGACATCGGTCAAAGGAGTCCGTGAAACGAGAATGCCTTTCAGCAAATCTATAGTCTAGTTCAAAGAGCAAAGACAACAGCAACAAAAATCAATCGATCGCTCGATTATCTTGGCCCCTTGGTTGTAATTAGTAAAATGCACTTTTAATTATATGTTCAAACCCAAGAAATGTATTTAGCAGATATATAATATCAAACATACATACAATAGAATCAAGACTCACCTCATTATATCCGAATGTCACATTCCTCATCTCAGCCCCTTTGGTGTCCCTAATACCAAGTTCCGCTAGAGTCCTCAAGACCGACCCTGCCACATTAGGCACCACCCGCATATCATCACCAATTATAAAGGAAGCACCTTTCTTGCAAAAAGCTCGATCATCGCCATCTTCAGCAGCCTCAGATGATAAAAATACTGTTTCAGTACTCATAGATTTCCCACAATCACATTTAACAGTATCATAGTACATGCTGAAATTGTGTTTTTTACTGAACGACTGTCCGCATGTAAAGTACTTGGTGGGCTCGGAATCACTAAGATTCAGCTTCAGCTTACAGCATTCTTTTTCAAACACGCTTCTCGGGTTTAGCAGCATTTGTTTACTGGTCTCTGAATGAAAATGGACAACATCAAGATTGACAAGGCCATTGTACAAAGAGGTCAAGCTCCCAACAGCGGGCTTGTCGTCTCCATAGTGTTCCACGATGATTTTCGCGATCTTTCCCAATGGCAATGTCAGGAAGCTCAATAAAACGTCGAAAAAATCGCCGTCTGCCTCTGCAAAGAGGACCTTAGTTTTATCTCTATTTATCATGACTTTCAAGGTGAACTGGACATCCTTAGGGGCAGACATCGTTGTATCTTAATTTGGGGTGTTTGTCTCAGGGTCATGTGAGCATGAAGATTTCAATGCATGAAGGCCATTTATATGGCAAAAAGGGTTGTCCAAGAGTCTATCCCACAAGATTCCTGAGTCTTTATCTATTTCCCTGACCTTCCATTTGCCATGGAAATTGGACTGGTTATTTCGAGTTTCAGTAAAATTAATTTTCTTGTAGTTTGTGTTTTTGAGTTGAAGTAACTCCATTTAAGAGTGTAACATGGGGACTCTTTTCAATCAGTTGTAGAATAATTATTGGTTTTAAGGGGAGGTTATCTTATCTTATTAAGGAGCATCATCCTTTAGACATACAGAATGGTTATACAACATGGTAACTAAATGTTCGAACACTTCTTACTTTGTGTAACTTGTTACATGGGCCGCGGGTGAGAGCTTACTTTGTGTAGCTTGTTATACAACCTGCATGGTCCTAAAAATTGGGAGCTCGTTAGGCTTGTGTTATGAACAACCAGTTAACCTGACCTAGACATGACACGAGAATAACGGCTTGGTGAAGCATGTCAGCTCGTGCTAAGATCCCAAGATAACCTGGCTATAATCCAACTGATAATTCCAACCACAAGATAAATGGGTCATTATAATCGACCTCATGCAACATGCGTATTCAAATCCATAAGGCTTCTTTAAGAAGGAAGGTTGTATTCAGCACAGTACTTTGCTTTTCAATTTGTTTGTCAGAGATGAAGAAATTTTCAGAGTAATGGAAACTAAGAATGTGGGAACTCAATGTCTTTGAGTTAATGATGGTGTACAAAATTAGCACCGGGCTTCATGTTTTCCTAAAACAAACATCAAATTTCATTTCTAGTGTTGTACATAAGTTATAAATAATGTAGCTTTCTTGTTGTACATGTACATAGCACAAGAACCACACTTTCTTTTTGCTGGAATTAAGAGCAACAAGTTAATCGGTTCGTAACAGACGAACAGACGTAATCTAAAGGACCTAAGACCACACGACCAGGCTTGATCTAAAGTACGTTCAAACAGAATACAGTCTAATATTCTTCTAGAAAATGTACAGCCATCAAATCTGACATTTGGAACGGTTGCATTCTGAAAACGTTTCACAGTCTGTAATCTATATTTAATCAGTTTCAAAATTCGTCATTCCATACTATGTGTCGTTGTTTAAGGTTGAGAGTCACTAGCATTATCCATAGCTGTCAATACCCAGGTCAGTCATAGTAACATAGTGGAAATTCACACCATTTCCAAGCCTACTAGACCTCTATGAAACTTACTGAGACTAATTAATTAACTCAGCCACCTACACATTAGTTTAATCTATAATTACTTCAAGACATGCTTTCAAAATCGTCAATCTCAAGGTTGTTCTAAAGATCAATTGTAGAATGTCTAATGTGGGATAATGATTAGATGCATAAAATGAAACAACCCAACAACAATAAGCCTGATCTAATAATCATAAAATAACTTCATTTGTCCACATAACTGACCTCATCTGTGACGTCATCTTCAGGTCATATGAAGTCTTTCTCAAAGAGTACAAAACTTATCATCATTATGATCAACATCTTGATTTCTAGACATCACTTTTGATTCAATTTCGTGCTGAATATGATTAGGCTCAACCGACCTTGTAAACGCACACATAACACTGTCTAATATTAGAGCTCTGAGAAAAGAAGCTGCCATCAAATCTGACATTTGAAAATGGCTGCAGTAAAGAAACTTTTTACAATCTGCATTCTTCATTAATTAGTTTCAAAAGTTACTATTTTATAATATGTGTCGTTTAGGGTTCAAAGCCACTAGCATTATCAATAGCTGTCAGTATCCAGTTCAGTCACTGGTAGATAAAACTAAAATAGGTAATTTCATATACTCGCTGATAAAACGACAAAAGTTTCTTGAACAATGTGACATGAACAAAAAATATTCAATTACGAAAAGTAAGAATTGATCATGAAAACTATTGCAATAGCACCAGCTCTGATCTTATATAAATCTTCATCCCTCTTGCTTCGGTTGTTTCATTAAAAATGGAGTGATGAGGCCATCGGTTAAGGCGCGAGATGAAGTCAGAGATGCTTTC